GCATACGAAAAGCACTCTGCACATGGTCCTGGGACAATGCTCAAAGGCTGAGTGAGTAAAGCCGGTACAGAGCTGTGCTCAGGCTCAAAATAAGCCTTCATACTTCAAAAACTTTTTCTTCTGGCACAACTCCGACTTTAATATCTGTGTAACAGTCGTGATTCCGTGGGTCAAGCTGTGCCCACCACTGTTTCTCCATACTCGGGAGAAGAACTGAAGCAGTAAAAGGTAAGGAGGAGTCCTTCAAGCGATGGAAAGTGAGTCTGAGTGAGGTGAATAAAAGGGAGCACAGGGTTTGGCAAATGAAATGCAAGTCGGTGATCAGACAGGCAAAAAGGGACTATGAGGAACATATTGCAAAAAACATAAAGACCAATAATGAAAATGTCTTCAAATACATTAGAAGCAGAAAACCAGCCAGGGAGGCAGTGGGGTGTTGGATGATCAAGGGTGAAAGGATTACTAAAGAATGAGAGAAATGGCAGAGAAAACCGAATGCATTTTTTGCCTCTGTCTTCACTGTGGAAGATGGGAGGTGCTTGCCCACTCCAGAACCACTGATTTCAGGAATGATATTGAAAGACCTGAGTTGGATTGAGGTGACAAAGGAGGTCCTATGACTGATGAACAAACTAAAAACTGACAAATCTCCAGGCCCAGATGTCATGCATCCGAGAGCTCTGAAAGAACTCAAATGTGAACTTGTGGATCTCCAGACAAAAATATACAATCTATTACTAAAATCTGCTTCCATTCCCGAGGACTGGAAGGTAGCTAATGTAACCCCATCTTTAAAAAAAGGTTCCAGAGGAGATTCAGGAAATTACAGGCCAGTCGGTCTAATGTCAATACCAGGTAAATTGGTGGAATCCACTATGTAAGATAGAATTAGCAGGCATATTGATGAACAAAAGCTGAGAAACAATCAGCATAGGTTCTCTAAATAAAGATCTTGTCTCACTAAACTTTTAGAGTTCTTTGAGGGGGTGAACAAACATGTAAACAAGGGTAACCCATTAGATGTTGTTTACCCAGACTTCCAGAAAGTTTTTGATAAAGTTCCTCATCAAAGTCTCCTAAGTAAACTCAGCAGTCATGGGATAATAAGAGAACAAGCCCTCTGGGGATTAAAAAATGGTTAATTAACAGGAAACAGAAAGTGAATATAAATGGACAGTTTTCACAGTGGAAGATGGCAAGCACTCGGGTACCACATGGCTCGGTACTAGGTCTGGTGCTTTTTAACTTGTTCATTAATGATTTGGAGTTGGGAGTGGGCAGTGAAGTGGCTAAGTTTGCAGATGACACTAAGCTGTTCAGGGCAGTGAGAACCAAGTTATGAACTTTCTAATATTATAATATTAAGAGGACTTTATAAATTATAAACCTTGCAGTTTATCTCTGTATAACATGAAATGACAAGTAGAGGAAAGTTATATGCAACTAATCATTACTTTTGTTCCTTCCCCCTTCCTCACCCTTGGGTATTTTAAGAACTTAATAAAAATTTATTCATAAAAAAGAAGGAATAGGATAAACATGAAGCAGAGGTCCATGAGTAGCCACAATGTATAGATGAAACCCTGTGTCTGGGGCAGTGATTCTCTGTATTCTTGGTGCTTGGGAGGCAATAATGGGAGGGCTTCTGGAGTTCTGGCCCCGGTGGTGATGGCACATGGGTTTTGGCCCTGTGTGACACAGAGTGTTGGACTGGATGGGCCATTGGCCTGATACAACATGGCTTCTCTTATGTTCTTATGATTGTCAAATTTCTGCCTTAGTCCTGCCAGAAAAAAAGCAGTTGGCAATCCATAAGATTCACCATACGGCTGTTTGGATCCTATCCTGTGTCACATACTTAATCCTGTTGCAATAGCTCTTCTTGTTCTACTGGGAGCTGTTTTCTTGCAAACAAACGTTAAAGATTATTTAAAGGAAGGAACTTTTTTTACAAGAAACAAAGAAGTTCTTTATTGTCCCTTGCAGCAAGATTGAGCTTCCACACTACCTTCAATTTAAAAAAAATTAGGAAATCCCCGATTATGAAACAATTTTTAACACAGACATTAGGCTGAATCACCAAGGTTATTATTACTGTACATCTCTAGGCTTGGGGTGCTGTTTAAACCCTGTGCTGACATCTAGTGGCGATGGCTGAGAGTAGAAAGGTATGAAGACACCAGGATTTATAAAAGAAAAAAGTGACTTTCAGAAAACATAGTAAAAAAAAAATCTTGTACCATTTTAAAGATTAAATTCAAACATGCCATTTAAAAACTTCTCAGCACCTCTTCTTTTGTTGTTGTGCATGTGTGCAAGGCAGTTATAAATGCATTTTGCTGAGTTTCCAGAGTGGAATGATTGTCCCTGGGACCAGATAAATTAATCTGGGACTGGAATGGGGTTCTCATGGCTGAAAATCTCCAGGGATTACAACAGGCAAGAGAACCATTCATCTGGGGGAAATGCCTGCTTTGGAAGGTGGACTCTATGGCATTTTACCCCATGGAAGTCCTCCCCTTCTCAAACCCCATCTTCCTGAGGCTCCACCCCTCAGATCTCCAGATATTTCCCAGCCCTGAGCTGGCAACCCTAGACTGGAATGATATTCCCCAAGGTGGAATCCATGCTCTGGAACAAGAATGACAGCCTCCAAAGTAGAATTATGGTCCCTGAGACCAGACCCACTGCTCTGGGACTGGAATGACTGCCCCCAAAGTGGAGTGACAGTCCCTGGAGCACAGATATACTGCTGTGTATAGCTTGTTGTAAGCAGGATCCAATTTATATAATTTCTGTACCATTTAATGTGTGATGTGAATACTTATGATGTGCTTCAGTTCTTTCTGGTGGTTACAGACTTCTAAAATCCTGATGTATTGGTTACTGAATGTCCCATTTTATCAATTATGCTGATTATGTGTAATCTGCCTTGAGTCCCTGTGAGAATGGTGGGCTATAAATAATGTAAACAAATAAACTCATCGGCAACTGGGAGGCCAACTGCCAGAGATTGGTTTGCCTAGAGAAGATGGCTGCTTTGGAAGATGGACTCTATGGCATTATACACCACTGAAATCCCTCCCCTCCCCAAGCCCCACCCTCCTCAGGCTCCCCCCATGTGTAATCTGCCTTGAGTCCCTATGAGGATGGTGGGCTATAAATAATGTAAACAAACTCATCGGCAACTGGGAGGCCAACTTCCAGAGATTGGTTCGCCTAGAGAAGATGGCTGCTTTGAAAGGTGAACTCTATGGCATTATATGCCACTGAAATCCCTCCCCTCCCCAAGCCCCACCCTCCTCAGGCTCCCCCCCCCATCTCCAGGTATTTCTCAACCTGGTACTGGCAACCCTATCTGGGACTGAAATGACAGCCCCCAGAGTGGAATGGCAGTCCCTGGAAGTACCATAAGCATTCTGGGACAGGAATAACAGCCCCCGAGACCAGCCACATTGTTCTGCAACTGGAAGTTAGCCAGCCCCCGAGACCAGCCACATTGTTCTGGAACTGGAAGTGAGCCCCAGAATGGAATGACAGTCCCTGGGAGTAGTATAAGCATTCTGGGACCAGAATGACAGCCCTTTGAGCAGAATGATGGTGCCTGGGACCAAATAAGCAAACCTGGGACTGGAATTAAAGTCCCCAAAGTAGAATGACAATTCCTGGGAGTGGTGTAAGCTGTTCTGGTACTGGAGCACTAACAGCCTCACTTTGGAGGCTCTCAGAACACTTATCATACTCCCATGGACCATCCTCAGAACACATCTGCCATTCTTAGGGATTATCCTTCAAGTCTGGGGGCTGTGATGTCCAGTCATCCCCAGAGATCGTCATTCAAATCAGGAGGCTGTCACTGCAGTCCCTGAACACTTATGCCACTCTTAGGAGTCGTCCTTCTCTCTGGGTGTTGTCTTATCAGTCCCAGAACAGTTATGCCATTCCCAGGGACCATAATTCTATTCAGTTAAATATATTTTTGAAAATTAATTTATTCTTGGAAGCACAGAAGCTATACACAGTATCCCTGATTCTCCACATTTCCCAGTTAAGGAGAAAATGCTGTTCAAATAAATCACAAAGACGATCTGACTCCAATGATAACAAGAGAAATAAATTGTACTTACAAAAACAGAAGCACATCTTACATGACATACATGAGGTACATTTAAACTTCTTGTAAACAAATTAACTTCAAAAAAGGTTTAGCTGCTACATCTCCAATCCCAGGTAAGAGAGAAGAAGAAGAGAGGTCCTATATAAATTGAAACAGAAGGCAGGCAAGGGCCAAAGGGGGTGGGGCTAACTGGCAACTGTACCCGAGTGTGAGAATTCTTTAAACCTTTTCCTCCCAGATTCTCTTGCACGAAGAGTTACAACATCCAACATATTCCTCTCTGGGGGCTGTAATTCCAGTCCCAGAACAAATTTCTGTAACTCCCACATTTACAATTCAACTTTTTTTGTACTGTAATGCATTCCAATGGAGCCCATGCAAGTGACCAAGGTATTCCTCGCTCCCATTATATCCAATGAGCCTTCAGGCATCTCTCCCTTGGTTTCCAGTGGTCATTCTTTCCTCTTCGCACACTCAGTTAGAGCTTGCCCCGCTCATCAGAACCTTCATCATAGAGATTAAGGGGAAGAGCGCCACAATCACTTCCTGTATCGGAAGTACTATCCATTGGACAGATCAAATCTTTGTGGTACCTGGGAGTCTCAATATTGGCCAGCCCTCTCTTTAAAGGGGGGGGGATTAGAACTACACCCCACCAGACTTCCGGTCTAGACCAGCACTTGTTTCCCACTCTTTAACTTTCCATAACTACAGAGACGCCGAGTGTCTTCGTCGCCGGAAAGAATGACACCCTCGTAGGGGGAAATGCGTTCTCCTCCTCCTCCTCCTCCTCGCGTTCACCTCCGGCCTCAGTGTGTCACAGTGTGGAACGTCCCCACCCCGCCCTTCTTCCCGGAAGTGGTGTTTCTGCCTAAGTCTTCCGGGTAAGCGGGCGGTTCCCCACCCCTCCGTAGAGCGCTGCGGCTGGCCATGGAGTGAGGCGGCAGCCGGGGCCTGGGGCAGGTAAGTGCGAGGGAGGCAAGAGGCAGAGCTGAGGGGAAGGAAGGATGGTCCGGCTGGGAACGGAGGAAGCCGTGAGGGCGACGCCAGGGTGCCCCTCCCTCACCCGCTCTCTCTTCTCTCCTTCCAAGCAGGACGGAGCCGCCGGACTGAGACGCCGCCAGGAGCGGGGCCGTCGCACCCCCTCTCCCAGCATCCTCCGCGTGGGGCCTCGACCTCCTCCCCCGACTCTCACCGGGGGCTCTGCAGCCTCGGACCTCTTCCCCCAAATACGAACGTGGGTGCCCCCAACAGCTTTTGCGTGGGGCTTGGCTCTTCGCTCCCGCTCCGAAGACGCACGTTTTGGCATCTCCCTCAACTTTGCTTCCCCTGCACAGACACTCAGACTCGCCCGTTTCTCCTCCTTCATTCTCTCCTGCAGTTTTCCATTTCTGTTTCTTTCCCTCTTCTGCCTTCCCTTCTCCATTCATTCCTGAGTGTCTCGGTTTATACCCAAGTTCCTCCTACAGACGACCTCTGAGCCTGAGTTTTCCTCTTCTTTCCAGACCTTTTATGCACTTAGGGTTGGTAACAATTCCATCTTAGAGTCCTCACTTTTTCTTTGCAAGAAGCGAAAAGCAAAACAAAAACTTGTTTCCTGCACCAGATCCACAAACGGAAATTCCTCACTTGCAACGGAGGTCCTTATTTCTCCTTTGCCTCTGTTGCCCCCACACCAACCAGCGGCTCCCCAGTTTGCAGCATTCCTGTTTTATGCTGTGCAGAGGGAAAGACAGCGCCCATGAGGGAGTACAAAGTCGTGGTTTTAGGGAGTGGGGGGGTGGGTAAGTCGGCCTTGACTGTGCAGTTTGTCACTGGGACGTTCATTGAGAAATATGACCCCACCATTGAAGACTTCTACCGTAAGGAGATCGAAGTGGACTGTTCCCCATCAGTACTTGAAATCTTGGATACAGCAGGGACTGAACAGTTTGCTTCCATGCGAGATCTGTACATTAAAAATGGCCAAGGTTTCATCCTAGTTTACAGCCTGGTAAACCAACAGTCTTTCCAGGTAACATATACAACTGTCCATTCTAAAAGGGAAATTTTGTTGGGATGGGTCTTTGCTACCAAAAGCAAGTTTGGATAATTGAAAAAAGAAAGTCTCACAGTTATTAAAAGTGCTTGCTATGAGAAGCTGTTCAGTGATTTCCACTGCTCCATCTGTGATTGTGGATTATTGCATAATAATGTTTTATCAGTAACCCAATTTAAGCATCTGTTCAGACTTTGTATTCCAGAAATGGTTTCATATGGAAAGAATTAAGATTCTCAATCACTAAACGTTGTTGCTGCCTTCAGTTAGAGAGCCGTGTCAGGAAACATGAATTTTTGTTTCTGAATTTTTGCAAGGAAATGGTTCTTTAGGTGTGCTTAGCCCACAAACGTTGTTCTCAGAAAACCCCTTAGGCCTCTTTCCATCTCTGAACAGCTTGCTCTGTGTTAGTTTTAATAAATAGTGCACTATGCTCATACGCCTGACTCCTCTGGGCCAGCCATCTCAAGTGTTAGTTCTGGCTTCTTGGGTTTCCAAGGTTGATTTGCACAGCAGGGGAGGGAGTGTCTGCTTTATCAGCTTGTTTCCTGTGTGAAGCTCAAGCATGCAGAGCTGCAGTAGAGCGTCTAAAACATGAGTTTGTAAGCAAGGAGCAGCAGATAAGTGAGAGACTGAGAAGCTGCCTCTGAAGGCTGTGTGATGCTGCTTCCTGGCACCAGCTGCTTTGCTGAGTTGGGCAGACTTCAGCTTCTTGGCAGAGCCTGTTACACCCACGCGAAGAGGCAGAAGCAGAGTATAGGAAAGTGATGAAAAGCCTGATAAATAGTATCTGAATTCCAGCCCCTTTTCCTTGGCATTCCTTTCTTATCACGTTGGCCTGCATATGCAGAAAAACAACAACTCGAGCCTTCAGTCTTGCTGCATTGAGCTGTTTTCTCACCCTAAAGTGGACCAAGCAGTGCCTTCTTGCACTTACAGTTGTTTGGAGGCTTTTTAAAAAACATTGTTAATTGAAAGGAAATGCACATAAGACTTCCAATGGAATTGGATTTGGTATGATTGCTCCTGTGTGTTCTAATTGCAAGATGCTGTAGCTCTTAGGTAAAGGTTTCCCTTGCTCGGAAGCCAGTCGAATCCAACTCTAGGGTTGTGGTGCTCATCTCCGTTTCCAAGCCGAAGAGCCAGCACTGTCCAAGACATTTCCGTGGTCATGTGGCCAGCATGACTAGACGCCGAGGCGCACGGAACGCGGTTACCTTCCCACCGAAGCGGTACCTATTTATCTACTTGCAATTTCTTGCTTTCGAACTGTTAGGTTGGCAGGAGCTGGGACCAGAGATGGGAGCTCATTCCATCACGCAGCACTAGGGTCTGGTCGGCAGTTCAACATCTTAACCACTTGAGCCGCCGCAGCCCTGCTGCAGCTCTTACAGGAATCTTATAGTAACAGTGCAGCAGTATGATTAGAAGGGTTTTGTCCCCTGTCTTCTTGAAGGTACTCGTGGAGGTGGTCACACTCCACCCAGCTGGATGTTGCCCTTACTGATTTTGCCCTGTCAGGTGTTTGAGACTGCGCACTCCTCCATTCTTGTCCAGGCAGGCATTAAACCAAGAGAACTGTCAAGTGCCCAACTGTTCACTGTATCTTTGGTTTCCTTCCTTGCCCCATTTTAGTCTTATGTTTTGTCATTACTTAGATTGTGAGCTTTCAGGAATAGGCTGGCCTCTCCCAATTCTGCATGAACTGTTTAAATTATTTTAGGTACTAAATAAGTACTTTGCACATTTAAAGGTGCTAGGGTTGTTGCCTCTTTCCTTCCCTGAACATTCGGTTGGCCTTTACAGCCCACACAATGATACCTGTCTTTTAGAACAGCTAATTACATGGGTTATATTTTTTTAATTTGGTAATTAACTATCATAGAGTGTTGTGCAAATTTGGTGTCACAAATTACTGAGACTTAACCAGGGCATTAACCAGTTTAATTTCTTTATCAGGACATTAAGCCAATGAGGGACCAAATTGTCCGTGTGAAGAGATACGAAAAGGTTCCTCTCATCCTAGTGGGGAATAAAGTGGACCTGGAATCGGAGAGGGAGGTCTTGTCGGCGGAAGGCCGAGCCCTGGCTCAAGAGTGGGGCTGCCCCTTCATGGAGACGTCTGCCAAGAGCAAGACCATGGTGGATGAACTGTTTGCAGAGATCGTCAGGCAAATGAACTATGCATCCCTGCCTGAAAAGCAAGATCAGTGTTGTACGACTTGCATTGTCCAGTGAGAGAGACAGAGAGCAAAACCTCAATCATGGCCATACAGAGCAGGTTGGTGGAATATTTGTGGCTATTAAAGGTGAAATCAATGAGTGGGAGATGCAGGGTGGATCGTAGTGTGATGATTCCTGAACAAGTTGTGTATTGCTCTTCTTGTTGCAATCCCTTAATTGAGATTGTGCAGGGGAGTCAGTAAAGAATTAGTCCATTTAACAAATGGCAAGGTCATGGCCTAAAGCTGTCTATTTAAAACTGTCAGCCAGCATTTAGGCTTGGGTGTCCTAAGTCTAGCACAGTGACCACTTTACTACACTGTCTCTTTCTGGGCAGCACTACAGAATTCAGAGGTCTACAGAAAACGCTTACCAGCTCTGAGACCACCTTGAATTTGGATCACAGGGAACTTTGGCTGTGGATCTCACATGAGTCTGCTTTATGCTGAGTTGAGCTACTGGTCTCTCTAACCCAGTTCCACTCTTGGGTCTTCAGCAGAGGTCTTTCACAGCCCTGCTACTTGAGATCCAGGGGATAGAACTTGGGACATTCTGCATACAAACAAATATGTTGCTATTAATCCTTGGACTTTCCCATAGTAGCTGCCCTGATAGAGTACCTAACTGCTGAGTGTCCAGTGGTTACCTAGCCTTGAAATATGCATCTTTGTTTTCCTGAACCTGGATGATGGTCCATAAATGAAACAATGGCAGAAAGGGATAGTAGTAGTGTGGTCCTCTTACGCTGTAAATTCACATTAAGTGTACACGCGTTGCCTTTTCTACCCAGGAGCCAGTTAATAGTTCTACCTAAAAGGTGTAACGTGGATGCTGCAATGCCTTACTGCAGGCCAGATAAGTCCTTCTTCCAAAGCTTCCTGGAATTGCATGTCATAGTCCCACTAGCTGGCTTTGTAAGGCTCTGAGACCACTCTCTGAGAAATTACTCTGGGACACATTCCCAGGTGTTCAGATGCCTAGCGCCTAATAGATTGGAGGGAGAACCAGTAGCAGTCAGAGCACCAGGCTTTTGTGTACGTAGGAAGACCTGTGTTGGGCTTGCCACAGTGTTTATTTTAGTGGTTGCAAAAAGTTGTGCAACCTGACCAGAGGGGAGCAACTCCAGAGAAGTGGTTGCAAAAAGTTGTGCAACCTGACCGAGCAACTCCAGAGGCGAAGCTGTGTCTGTTTCAGCTTGCCTGTACATGGTAGGCTTGGTTGATAAAGCTGTTTTCCTCATACCTCATGAAGTGAAAGTTGGTTGTCTAGCATTGAATGTGGGTTAAACTACCACGCAGCTGGCACCGTTGCTTGTCTTCAGAGCTGGCGTTGATCAGCTGTAATGGCTCATGCAAGCTGTAGCTAAACTTAGTCCCAGCCATGCAAATCACATTAATAATAGAAGCACTTGAGAAGCCATTGGTGCCAAATATACTTTTCTGTAAGGTGAGGCAACCTGTTGGCTTGAAGTAAATGCGAGGTTACAGAAGGGTTGTGCTGTGTCAGCCGTTGGGTAAATGTTTCAGAATGTCTGCAGTGATGGCCTACATTGTAAGTTCGTATTGAAGTCCATATCTGTTGCTTAGAGTGAAATAAAACTGTAGGACAACATTGGAGCCGTCCACTCTTATGAATGGGCAGGCTGGCTTGCCTCTTCTCTTCAGCTCCTGGCTCTTAAGTTTTATAAGGAATTTTCTGTGCAAAGGTACATTTTCAGCAGAGAGGCATGGTTTTGGCACTACCTTTCACACTTCATGAGATGGAGAACATTGTCCAGAGTTAAAGTCTTGGTGGCTGAATACAGAAAGCCATGGAGTATGAGGTAGAGGGCTTGCTCTTCAAATCTCTTGGAGTATGAGGTAGAGGGCTTGCTCTGCTCAGGAGCACTTGTTTTCCTTCCCCTTAATAGAGAAGGGTCTCTGAGGCTTCATGGTTGCATAAAAGCCTGTATTTATCGGCTCCTGTAGTCCCTTCAAAGCCATTATGTAAACCTGACTGCAGTTGCTAACTTTGTGTTGTGGCTTTGAGAAGTCATTATGCTCTTTAATGAACTATGACTATAAGAGAAATGTTTAAGAAGAAGAGATTGGATTTATACCCCGCCCTTCACTCAGAGTCTCAGAGTGGCTTACAATTTCCTTTCCCTTCCCCTCTCCACAACAGACACCCTGTGAGGTAGGTGGGGCTGAGAGAGCTCTTCTGAGGACTGCTGTTGAGAGAACAGCTCTGAGAGAACTTGTGACTGAGCCAAGGTCACACCAGCAGTTCCATGTGGAGGAGCGGGGAATCAAAACCGGTTCTCCCAGATTAGAGTCCACGCTCCTAACCACTACATCAAACTGGCTTTTTTTGTGTGAGTTTTGTGTGCTGAATGAAGAGAGGCAGAGATGAAACAAGCACCATATCTTAAGGTTGGTGTGGGGGGATGCCAGAGCCACAGTGGTATGGAATTAGTGAGGCTGTGCCATTGAGTTTATTGCTGCTTTTCATAAAGGGGGGAACCCCTGCCCAAACTTATGTAGATATTTAAAATATTTCTGTTCTGCTTTCCTGTGGCACACGCAAGCACATGCTTTAATCACACGAAAGCATGTGCCTGCCTCTGATTTGTTCTTTTTCTTAACTGCAGATAAAACTCAGAGGACATTTGCACAGATGCTGCTTTGGAGAACTCTTTCAGCCCAGGCTGCAGAACTGAGCCTTGCAAACCCCTCTTTCTCTCTCTTTCTCTCTCTCTCTCTCTCTCTTTAGAGCACATTTCCAGGCATCGGCGTGCAAAAGGTTGGCAGCGGCAGCTGTGGAGAACAGTAGGCCTGCAACAGAATCGCTTAGCATGTTTACCATATGTTTGAAATCTGTTCTTTATCTCTTGGTCCTCCTCCTTTTTTAAAAAGAAAAATAGCTTTCTAAGTTCCTATTAATGGCTAATATGCAAGCGTTCATTTTTCTCCCCCCCCCTAATATTTTGATTTCTTTAATTGATTTCCAAAACTTGTATTTATTAAACTTAACTCAGTATTACCTACTCAATGCCTTTTTAAGAGAAAGTTTTAATGGAGAAATAAAAAGTGAGCCTTAAACAAATGGTTACTTCTGTATATTACCTCACATCTGTGCTTGATTTTGCAAAAAAACCCCCCCCCCCCGACCCTTCCTCCTTCAAAATGTCATTGGTTGATACTTGGAAATGTTCTGTTTATGTGTCATAGAAAGATACTGAAGATTCATCTTGCATTGTGAGGATGTAAAGTCCCTTTTCACAGCAGATGTGGTGGCTTGTTGTAGTGATGGCCTGATACAAAGGTAGTTTATTTGACAAGGAGTGGAAGCATCCGGCAAGTGTGGTTACCCCCCTCCCCTTTGTTATCATGTGGCATTCACATTTTTGTCTTTCAACTGATGCAAGAAGTGTTGAAAATCTCCCCAGTACGTTTCCCTTCTGTTCGGCTTCCAACTTTTGGCTTTTGTTCTGCTTTTAAGTATGCCTTCTTGGAAAAGGGATAAATATGTCCCCCACAGGGTTTTGTGTTCCTTAAGCAAAATCTAACTCTGCTTTGCCCGGTAGGATTAAGATGACATCTGGCAGACTTCTGCACATGTAAATCAAATGCAAATAAAATGACTTTACATTTTCTAGTTCTTAAATATTGTCTCTTCTAATAATATTTTGAAGCAATATTTGTTAGTGGGGGGTGTTTGTTTTGGGGTGAATTTTTTTTTTTTTTTTTGTATTGGTGCTTTGTGGCGCTGCTGCTTTTTCAGTTTCTAGCAAGCAAGCATTATTTGATATAACTGGGCAATAGTGTGAGCAGTCAGCTCCGTACGGAAATGCTTGACCTGGCCATTGCCTTCTGCATGGTTTATCCAACATCATGTGATTTTTCTGGATACTTGAAGTCCTTAAACAGAAACACAGGTATTACACAAAATGAAGAGCATAGACACTGTGTGTGTGTTTTTTAAAGCTGATGAACACAACTTTGTCATAAGTTGGAAATTTTTCCTACCAGTCATTTAAAGATGTATTCACTTTCTTCTGTTCTCTCACTTCCTCCCCCCCCCCCTCGGGGTCTCTGAGTTGAATACTCATTTGACTGCACCGAAATTGCAGGTTTAAGAGCCCAGCTTAAGCCATTTGAACATGTCTCCTATGGGTATCCATCCTGATTTTTTGTCTTGTAATAGTTGAGTGTTATTGGCAATGAGCACTAGTGGTGAAGTACCCATATTGGAAGTCAGATAGTTTGTAATTTAAACTAAACTAAGGCACCAGCATGTTAGTTCCTGAATCCCATTTATATCCGAGCAAGTATAAAACACAGGGTTTTTTCCATCTTGTGTTTCCAGATACCTAAATTTGCTACGAGGTTACATTTGCACTTTAATGGAGGACTTCAAGCTGTTCTCATAGAATATTGCATGATAATGTGTTAATCGATGTGCCAAGGGAATAAAGACTTTTCTAAATAGGTAAGGCAGAAATGTTGGAGGGCCATTGAGTCTAGTTACTGTTTCCTCTGTATTTTGGCTGCTTCTGCACTTGGTATATTAACAGGAAAGGCAAAACTCAAGTATCTTTGGTGTATCTTGGAATAAAAAAGACCGAGACAGTTGACGTTTCTCTTAGCAGAACAAGCAACTGTTGCATGGTGTATATTCATTCACAGGACATCCAGCTCTGTCTCCTGCACACCGTGCCGCAAAAGGAAAGTTGTGTTTTGCAGCTCCTGTTTTGCAGCTCCTTGGTTTTACTGAAGCTTGAGGAGAGAAGTTCTGGTAGGTTGGCCCCTTTGTCCTTGTCCGTAACATCTGCACATTGTTCAAATCGCTGTGGTGGGGCTCTTGAAACACAGGCCATTTTCAGGTGTCTCCTAAACCATTCCACATAAGCTATCCCCTTACTAAGTGAAAAGGCTCT